TTATATATATACTGTATATATATATATATATATATATATATATATATATATATCTTAATGAGAATAAAGACAACTCGTATAATAGACCTGACAATGAAACTGATGCTAGTCAGTCTTCTCTTTAGTTAAGTAAGCTCTTGATTTTGACATGTTCACTTTATTTTCTGGCTTTCATTTAATTAGTAGTATCTGTCATTTGTTGGCTATAGAGTACAACGTTGCAGTGTTTGTTACCAACCAGATGACTGCAGATCCAGGAGCTGGAATGACGTAAGTAGGAACACAAAACAAAACGGAAAGAGAATGTTGGGAATTTTTAAACTAATTATTATGATTTTAGATTTCAAGCGGATCCCAAAAAGCCCATCGGAGGACACATACTGGCTCATGCCTCCACCACACGCATCAGCCTGAGGAAAGGACGTGCTGAATTGAGAATTGCCAAAATATTTGATAGGTAATTTCAAGATTTTCTCAGTAACACTTTACAATAAGGTCCCAGGTTACTTAATATTAAGTAATGCATTAACTAACAACAGCATTACATTTGTTACAGTATTTATTCATCTGTTAAAGTTAATCAATATACAGCTGTTCATTGTTAGTTCATGGTCCATTAAATAATATTAACAAATACAGATTTTCATTTTAATATTGTATTAGTAAATGTTAACTAAGATAAATGAATGCTTTAAGGTATTTTTGTCATTACATTGTAAGTTCATGTTAACTAATGTAGTTAACTAATGCCAGCAAATGGAACCTTATTGTAAAGTGTTCAAACCATTTTCTCTTTTTATTTCTCAACTAAGGGGAACACATACAATATACAATTTATCCATACATTAAAACTGTTGGGTAAATATATTGATACCGATATGGTGGCCGATATATCGTGCATCCCTAGTATATTTAGACAGTTATAATATATGATGATCTTTTTATTGAAATGCTTGCATCAATAAAACCTCTGCTTTTCTACAGCCCAGACATGCCAGAAAGTGAGGCTACTTTTGCCATCACAGCTGGAGGAATAACAGATGCCAAAGACTAAAATCTGCACAGATTGCATGTTACAAGTTCCCCACTACCTCGATGCCTCCACTTTGTTCTTGATGGAATCTGTTCGGATTGAACCATAACCAGTTGTATATTTATTTACATGTTTACCTATCTGTTTATACATTGTATTTATACTTTGTATTTATAAACTACACAGCTGTTTATGTATTGCGAAATCTTAATGGTACAGTATTATTTATTTATACAATGCTAATTTAATTCAATTAAAAACGGTTGAATAAAAACTTGTTTTCAGATATTTACTGTTAATAGTATATTTGCCTTTCTGAACGCTGTACTTTACCATAGCATTACCATAATGGCCTTAATTTGAAAAGCTGTTGCTGGGGCTATTAATACACGGTCGCTGCGTTCACAGTCCACGTTTCTGCACTGCGCGCATGCAAGATCCAGGATCAGCTAACTAGCTACACGTCCATGGTGTCGCATGAAGACTAGGCGCCTCATGCACCATTTCGGCACATTTACGAGTTCCCCAATCCCTCAATTTACCTGGAATAAATACTGAAAAAACAGATTTGACTTTGGTCAAACCCGCCTCGTGGGTTATAGCGCAACCCGTTAGCTATTCGTGTTAAAGCCACTATGGACTCGAGAGACACAGCCCCTGATTCGTGGGAACAGGAGGACGATGTTGAGGCCACGGCTGATACCGAACTTCAGTCCGCCTTCACCGGGCTCAACGTAAACGCTCCGGAATTCGTACCATCCTTTCTTTCCCGAGATCCGCCGGAAAACGCCACGTCTGATGGTAAACTGACAGCGTTAATAAACCGACTGACAGCATTGATAAGGTCTGCCCATAAAAGGGCTTTTAGCTAGAAATGTTTATAGCAGGCTGGCCGGAGAGATGGTAGTGGTTAGTTGAGCGCTGTGTTTAACATAGTCGAGTGAAGATATTTTTATTGTACCTAGCCAGTTGTACTTACTACTTCATAAAATGTTGATTTAGTGCACTTCAATACACACTGTTGAACTGTCCTGAACTAATACCCGGCTAGCCTTGCGTGGCCAGTTTAGCCGCTGACTTCACACCAAGATATTTCCTGTTTCTCCCCTTCATTGATTCTATTAGTTAATACATGATTTTAATCATTTCCTTATTAAAAGATTTTACACGTAAATTAATGAGCAACCCTTTTGATATTATTAAAATGATGTGTATTTACATGAAAGAAGACCCTAGTTATCACTATTCCAGCTGTTTTATTCTACACAGAAGCGGGTCGCCCCCTCATGGGTGCTGCGCTGTTGATGTCACATGACCAACTCTCCTGTTATTGTTAATACTACTAATAATAACAGACAGATGACCTGCTGATAAGTGTGTTTCAGGTTATGCAGATTATTCTGTAAATTACAGGGGGTAATGTTAACACCAGCTTTGGGAAAACTAAATATTACGGTCAACATTTTCTGTTTGTACATTGAAATGATATCTAGTCCACTTTTGTCACAATAGTGATTTAAACAACCCTATTAAGTTGTCTACAATTCTTAAAAACAGATTTATAACATTATAATCTAATGTTATCCAGTCATCACCCCCCTCTATCTCTGTCCGCAGGCACCGATCCAGTGGCCAGCATGGAGATCTCAGAACCAGTGGGTATGTTCAAGCTAGACTGTGCTTTTCTGCTTGGGTTTTGTGTTCTGATATAGTGTTGCACTGCCGCTAATGCTGCTTCATCAGCTATACAGAGGGCAACTTGGGGTTGTTACATCAGCATGCATGTGCTCATATTACAGGCTTTATTTATCGCTGTACTTACACCTCCAACCACAGCTACTGACCAAGAGAAGCAGATGACAATGTTTCCATGAATGGAGTAGTGCTTAACGCATTTAGCCCTGATTCCAGCTGTACACTTTATGTAAAGCATAGATTTTCATACAGCTGCAGTGTCTCATGAATCAGTTGTTACCTTACTTGTTCTCTGAAGTGTATAGTATACGGTACAATATTTGTAATGGCATAGAAATCAGTTAATTGGATTTCCTTTCCTGTCCTCTACAAATCTTTTTATTTTGTAGTGGTTCTTAGCATTTTTGACTCCAAGGCCCTTAGTCCAATATAATTCCCTCATCTAAGCTGATATGTATTTCTGGTACTTTAGTTGTAATGAATATAAATAAAAAAATATTTCATTTTAAAATTGTACATCTTTTTTTTTCTTTCTTTTTTTACATTTTAATTTAGATTATTTTAAAGGGGTCATATGATGCGATTTCAATTTTTCCATTCTCTTTGGAGTGTTACAAGCTCTTGGTGCATAAAGAAGATCTGCAAAGTTGCAAAGACTAAAGTCTCAAATCCAAAGAGATATTCTTTATAAAAGTTAAGAGTCAACCACGCCTACCTAAAACGGCTCGTTCTAACACGCTCCCACATGTCTACGTCACGATGCGGGAAGATTTGCATAACGCCGCCCAAATATTCACGCAAAGAAAGAAGGCGTAACTTTTATTCTTGCTGTAGTATTGTTGCTGCCGCCGCTGTCATGTCGTGAAGGTGCTGTGTTTCATTGTGAAAGCGAAACTACTTTGTTTGGTCTTCCAAAAGAGGAAGATATCCGCTTCGTCATGCCTAGAGCTGATCCGTGCTGGTCGCTGAGGAAATACATCAACTTCGCGCTGTGGATCGCCGGATCGGCTTTCACCGTGGACGAGCCCGGGGTCCAGCCCGGGGTCGTCATATGTGGTTGCCACAAGCCCGCCTGCCGCGCCATTCTCAAGCCCGCCCGCCTCCGCTCACTCTAGCCCGCCGTGTGTGACGCTGTGTTTCGTTGTGAAAGCGAAACTACTTTGTTTAGCCTTCTAAAAGAGGACACGACTAGAAATCAGTGGTTAAGTTGTATTTACAACACTGTTCCAGAACACTTCAACCCAAATAGTGTGCAGCACATTTTATGGAGGACTGTTTCCTGATCCTGGTAGAGTAGACCACAATGCCGGCTGTTCTGACTCACAGACTGCAAGTACGTTTTTTATATATAAAGAATTTGCCACTGACGATTCAAACTAGAGTTTTGAGCAGTGTAGAGTAGCGCATGTTGTTTGTCATTTCTCCGATCACAAATACAGACATGGTTTTATGTTTACGCGGTGCAATATGCAACGCAACTCGTAAAAAGACAGTACAAGTCATTATAATCTGTAATTATGTCCCCACTGGATGCAACAAATGCCT